AGAAATCAGAACTCGCCCGCACGCACTTTTGAAATGGTTAAAATTCATTAGAAAAGAGAAAGCAGGGTTTGGGGGGATATAAATATAAACTTGTCGATTTTTGAATGGGTCCCCGACGTACGATTTTCTTGAAACTTACATAAAATACTCGCCAAGTACCCCTGAAGATACTTCAGAAATCCGAACACGCCCGCACGCGCTTTTGAAATTGTTAAAATTCATCAAAGTTGAGAAAACTGGGACGGGAGGGATAAAAATAGACATTTGTCAATTTTGGAAGGGGTCCCCGACGTACGATTTTCTTGAAACTTACATAAAATACTCGCCAAGTACCCCTGAAGATACTTCAGAAATTAGAACTCGCCCGCACGCACTTTTGAAATTGTCAAAATTCATTAAAAAAGAGAAAACTGGGGCGGAGAGGAGAAAAATGCAAACTTGTCCATTTTTGATGGGGTCCCCGACGTACGATTTTGTTGAAACTTTCAGGAAATACTCTCCAAGTATCCCTGAAGATATTTCAGCAATCTGAACACGCCCGCGCGCACTTTACAAATTATGAAAATTCATTAAAATCGAGGGTGCGGGGCAAAAAACGACATTTTCGTATTTTTCAAAAGTTTCCCGCCACCGATTTGGCTGAAAATTTTAGGGAATTATTTAGAAGTGTTAGGGAACACATTTCAGTCGTCAAATCATCCCCAGCGACAGCGGGAAAGCTTAAAAATTAAAAAATTTAAATTCTGGGCTGGGCTGGGCTAACTTCCTATACATACCTTGGCGCATATTCTACCTTAGTATGGCCCATCGGTTCTCTAAAACACCCACAGCCGGATTTTTATCACACCACACCCCCTTGCCCCAAATCGTTTAAAGCTGCCCTTCACTTAGCGGCATGGCCGTTTTGGCCGTGTGAGTTGCACCATGATCCTGCATGAAAAGTACTGACTAACACTTACAGAAAAATTCCTCGTTTCTCATGCCATCAAAGTATTTAGGTTTCATTTCAGCTATAATTTTTTTTGCATTGATATCCACCATCTTTGCATAATATGAAGTCGTTGTCACGCCATGCGCAAAAAACCACCCGCAACTTTCCACCTTTAGTATTTAACTACTTGTGGTAAAATTTTCAAAATTAAATATTCACAGGTTCAGGAATTGCATTTGGGTATATAATATACAGTTATATTGCAAATGTAGTTAGGACCTTTCAATAGTTTTTCTTGTGTACTTAGGCCCTTTCGGAATTAAATATCGATTGCACTTTGGCCCTTTCGGAATTAAGTATCGAATGCACATTGGCCCTTTCGGAATTAAGAATCGATTGCACTTTGGCCCTTTCGGAATTAAGTATTGACTGCACTTAGGTCCTTTCGGAATTAGTCCGACGAAATGTCGCTTAATATGTTACCAGGCAACCGCGACGACCACATTTTCAATTTTTCTGGAACGAACATTTTCAGAATCGGGGCCAATTTCACGACTGTTTTTTGTCCTTCATAGTACAGCCCGTTACTTTGATTAATTTAGGAAAAATCTACAACGGCGCTCTATGCAAAAAATGTCGCTTTATATGTTACCAGGCAACCGCGACGACCACATTTAGAATTTTTCTGGTTAAAATTTTGCAGGTCCACATAAATGATAAAAACCAACAAAAGTATTTACAATGCAAATATTCGACATGTTTCTAACGGATCTTCTTAAAATAAGAAGTAAAAAATCACGTGACTAAACACAACATAGTTTCGCATGGATTTTTGCAAACTTAGAAAAATTCGTGGCGCCACGAATTCTGTAGAGGTGCGCAGCTGCTACTGCTTTTGTGTTTAGTTGCTAATTTTTTTAGTATAGGCTATCAAAAGATCCCTGAGAAACATGTCAGAGATGGGCACTGTGAGATGCATAATTTACTAAAATTTCCAGTTAACGATAAAATCTGGCTTGGCGCGCGTGTCATATTTGCCGAGGGTGGGGTTAACTGGCTATGGGAGCCACCAAGACCGGTCATCCCATACATTAATTTCCTCGGTGATCTGTGCCAAAATCCGATTCCCGGGTCGGGACTGTACTGGACAACGACGGAGAGTGGGGCCTGGGGCTGGTGCACGATGGCAGAGACAGAGCAGCTTAAGTACGTCTGCGAGTTTGATACCTCCATAACTACGACGACGCCACAGACAACCACGCCCACAGGATCAACTCCGCCTGTCGGAATCACATCAAGTCCTGCGACATCTACGGAAACTACGACACCTGCAAATGCCGGAAATCTATTGGATATGATTTCTTTAAAAATGTTAACCTTGTCTCATGTGCTTTATTACTACATTGTTTGAATGAGGTTACAATTTGTTACATCACAAAATTTCATGTAAAATCTGCATACGTCATTAACTGTATGACCCTTGATGGTGGAAATGTATTTAATTAAAATATAGAATAGTAGCAACTAAAGGATGTAGATTTAATTATTCCCGTTTGTTTTTTGGAACGCGACAAAAATTTACGAAAATTGCATAAACTAAAAAGAAAGGAGTTAATGGCATGATTAATATAAGTTGTCGAGAGATGAACTAGCAATGTAACTCAGATCTGGTTGGGACCAATTTTATTTTGTTCACCATAAAAAAATAAGCATACCCATATTTTTTCGTTTTTCCTATCCTAATGCGTTAATTTGAGCGCGAAGGGCGAACATTTTTCAGTCAACATCTCGCTTTTTAAAAATATTAAATTTTCGAATTTGAGCGAGAATCCAAAAATTCGAAGACATGTCTCTTCAAAATTAAAAGACTTACTTGACTTAAAATTCGCATGCACTATTTTTTGAAAAATTAAAAATTTGAAAGCGTTGATAATTTTAACGAGCTTCAAAAACTGGCAAAAAATTCTGAAATTGAAATTTCGAGACAATTGGATTTTTCGTAAGTCAGGAAATTATTCTGAAGCGACATGTTTTCGAATTTTTTGATTCGCGCTAAAATTCGAAAATTTACAGAAATTTTAAAAAGCGTGGTTTTGGCTGAAAAATGTTTTAAAACTCGCGCTTCGCGCTCAAATTAGCGCATTATGAAAAATGAAAAATATATGTATGCTTACTTTTTGTAGTGAGCAAAATAAAATTGGTCCCAACCAGATCTGAGTTGTACAAATAAAAGACTTGCATTGCTAGCAGAGCTCGGCAGATATCGGGCGAAAACCTCCAAATATCCGGATATACAGTATGTCACTTTATTGTAGATGCAAGGCATCCATGCTTTATATAAATCACAAATACTCCACAACGGGTTAATATTTCAAATTCGTTTTTAGACCAATTATTAGAAATATTTCATACTACATTCGTGCAAAATTTCAAATGAATTGGGCTAAAACTGATGAAATTATAGATATTTAAATCTCAAAAAGTTGCAAATTGCATGCCACAAAATTGTAGATGCAGCTGAATAGCTCATTCAATATGTAGCTGGCGTACTTTTGGCGTCAATACCGGCTTGAATTCGTCTTAACCATGAATCTACCAATCTATCAGTGACACTTTGGTCGATCTTACACCACTCTTTTGTGACTATGGTTTTCGGAGAAGCTGCATTTGTCGGTTTCCGTTCTGACGATGGACGCTTCAGGGTTCCCCATAAATGCTAGATCGGATTGAGGCCAGGGGATTGAAAACCCCAACCTAACACCTTTATTCCACTACCCTTGAAGCATTTTGAGCAGATTTTTTTAATATTTATATAATATTCGCCATGTTGGTAGAAAAATCTCTGACCAAAGTCCGCTTTTGTTTCAAATCAACAAAGATTTATTTTTATCAAATCAAGATTAGCCTCGTTTGCCATGATGTCAACGACGCATTTCAATGCTACTATCCCGTTCTAACGGAAACTGCCTCAAACCATTGCATTTCGGCAAGAATTCGAAAGTTTCACACCACATACTAAGTGTTCCCACAGCCAAGATTTCTTTGACACCTCTATTTTTAACAATTATCCCCAGAAATCAATTCTTCACACTTTCGATTTGCTTCCACCACACTCTGGTCACTTCATTTGAACCAGAGAGCTGATTTTCGGTCTCATCCAGGAAGAAAAATTTTTTCCTGTCACAAGCGGACATCCTGAGTTCTGCCTTCCCAAATCTAAGGATTACTTGGGGCTTGTTATTCAAATCTATGGTGTTTATTTTGACAAATCTCCCGATAATTCAGCGAATATCTGCCTGGTTATAATCGATTATAGGTGGACATCAGTGCAAAGGTCACTTTGAACACTTCTCGCAATATTTGGGGTGAACAGAGGAGGACCATCCTCACCGTTCTTATAATTTTCGTGTGATCACATGGTGCTGTACTGCGTTTTTGACCCCGATCGTGATGGTTCAAAAGAGTTTCGATCCATTTCCTTTTTTTGGACAATATTTTGTGAAATTTCATGTTTTCCGAAAATTTTTCCACAACTGAGCCCTTTTTTATAACTCACGCCATTTTCCGCCCGAAATTCTAGATTGACCTCGTTGTTACGTACCATTTTGGAATAAAATTTCTACAAAATATTTTCTATTGACAATATAAACAACTGTTCTTACCCAAAATAAACATTCCCGAACAAAATTTGTATGTAGCCTGAAATAATGGGTCGTTATCGTAATTAAACTCAGCTGCATCTACAATTTTGTGGCGTGCAATTTGCAACTTTTTGACATTTAAATATCTATAATTTTATCAGTTGAAGCCCAATTCATTTGAAATTTTGCACGAATGTAGTATACAATATTGTTAATAATTGGTCTGAAAACTAGTTTGAAATATTAACCCGTTGTGGAGTATTTGTGATTTATATAAAGCATGGATGCCTTGCATCTACAATAAAGTGACATACTGTATATCAATATCCGGGCCAAAACCCATTTCCAACCTCCAAATATCCGATATTCGCCGAGCTCTGATTGTTGGTGATAATACTTTTGAATACCCGCAAGAAATTCCAAGTACACCATTTTTTATTTATTAATTATAACTTGTATACATACCAGTACATAAACCTAAAGAAAAGTGATTCAGAATAAACTAAAGCATGTATTAATTTTTACTTCATTTCTGGAACAATTTCACCTTTAAATTAAATATTATATTATATTTGGGCAAAGGATAACATCACACTTTCCGGTTGTATAATTGGAGCCATCGTTTTCTTAAATTTAATCGGAACATTGGTATCCAGGCAGGGTTCCAGCTTAAAGTTTAGAAGAATGTGGCAAATAGCTAATTTCACTTGGAGAACGCCCATACGGGTACCTATGTAAATATAAAACAAATAAAAAAGAACTCCATAATTTGGTAAACAGAGGAAATTCAATGTTTACCGATACAAATCCTAGGCCCTTGGCCAAAGGGAAGGAACGCAAAGGGATCTATGGTGCCCTTATTCTCCCCCAAAAATCGGTCTGGATTAAACTCTCCCGGTTTTTCGTAATACTCCTCATCATGATGAAGCCCAGTCTGGGAGACAAGTACCATGTCACCCGGGTTCAAAACTAACCTTGTCCCTGGGAGGTGATATTTTGTTTTACACGTCCGCACCAAAATTCCAACCGGTGGACATATTCTTAATGTCTCTGCAAGTAAGAAGCTTTATTTGTGAGACCTTCAAAGTTTCAAATTTCCCGGTCTCACCCATATATGTTCAAAAAATATTTATTCACTCAAAGTTCATTCATTCAAACCCTTGGAAAAAAATGTTTACTTCTTATTCATACTGCTTCATACTTAGTTCATTTATAATGTGTAAAAAATATGAAGACATTATTCATTATTCACTATTTCACCATGCTTAATTTTATTAAAAATTCACAGTATAAGATGAATTTCTCAACTTTCCCTATGTATTAAGCATTGATGGTTAAAAAATGAAACGATGAGAAAAATATTCATTCATTACTCATTCACACGAATTGAATTCAATATCCATTTATACAGAAATCAGAATAAAATATTCATTCAAATTTTGAATATTGAATGAATAATTTATTCATTCATCATTCATCCAAATTTTGAATATTGAATGAATAATTTATTCATTCATCCTTAAATGAATGAATGTGAAAATGTATGGTCTCACCATTCACCACCGCGTTGAGGTATTCCATTTGATTTACTCCGTCGAAAGTTAACTGTCCACCATTCCCTTGAATCACATGGTTCACCTCGTCCCACAGTTTGATTTGGATATCCGAGTTTAACGCTAAATGATAAACGCAACTGGATAAGGTAACTTCGGAAGTTTCATACCCCGGGAGAACCATGCCGAATAGATTAGCTGTAATAAAATCTTGACCATCTTGGTTGTCAACGCCATCCGTGTACAACTCCTTTCTCGACGAGTAGACAAGGTCGACAAAATCATTCTTCGATTTGAAAGTTTCCGCGTCGCGCTGAGTCCCGCGGGAATTTTCAATCTTACTTTCAGCCAAGTGATCATAAAATTTTGCAATTTCCCTGTCAATTATGGAGAATCGAAAGTATGCCGATATCCTGGGAAACCATTGGACGAAGAAGATTTGAATGGCATCAAGCCAATTATCATAGGTTTGAACCCTGTTGGAAATTCTTTCAAATACGGACGGTTTTTGGGAGTGGAGGCAGCCGGTGTCTATATAATTTAAATATTGTAAGTCATTAAATAACCAAATAGCCGCCCAAAGATCGTAATTATCTACATTGTAAATAATCCTGTAATAAGGATTAGTGGCAAGTTAACCCACATAGATACATAGTTTTACCGCAATCGTAAAAATTTGGGATATCTTGAAGTTAATTTGTTACTTCGCTAGTAATATACTTATATTTGTTACTTATTAGTTTACATATATGTATATTACCAGTAAGGTAAGAAACTTATTCGATGGTAAATGTAATCCCATGCTTGTATCGTTACGTATACACACTAACCGCAAAGAGAATAAATACTTAGACATTACTGAACTATATATGTTGTATTACCTAGATTTAACGATACACTGGCCGCCACATCCAAAGTATATTTATGGCTCGACAGTTTAAAATTGACCCGTCCATCTTTCATTAATTCCACTTCCCGGTTCAAATACTCCACCAAGTTCTTGCCAAGTTTATCCACATGGCTAAAATTTCGCTTTACCTTACTCGGTGTGAAGGCAGAGTCTAACTTTGCCCTAAGATTTTTCCACTCATCGTCTTGCAGAAAGACCAAAGTTTTTGAAACGAGATAGTCCCCTTTGAAATTAAGCATGGAATTAGCCCTATCAAAATTGGCGGCATCCTTAACCAAAATCTGTTTTAGTATGGCTGGATCCCGCAAAATGAGCGTCTTCTGACCCACAATTACACAACCGGCCAATGGAACCTTTGCCTGTTTTGCTCGGTTATATAAAGTTCCTATAAACTGCGACATTCCACCCACCCCGCGAACATGGAATTTAGCAAAATCGTTCGAAACATCGCCAAGAAATAAAACATGGCAGGATTCGTAAAACTTTTGGATTTCAGGCTTGTATAAAATATAACTGTAAATTTTTATAAAAACGAGAAACGCAAAGTTGGAGAGGAACGAGAATAACGACATTGCGTTAAAATTAATGTGTTACGGTCTCAAGTTAATCAACTACTGGACACTCGCAGTACATTTTCTATTGAGAAGTGTTGGTATCCTTGAAGAGGATTAAATTGCGAAATTTTCAAGTATATCTAACTAATTTGATGCAATAAAAAGCGGATAACTTGTAGGGCAATTTCCATTATGGAAATTCCATTTCGCTTTACACAACAGGTTGCAATAATCTTTTTAATTGCTTTATGTAACTTGAAGTAAAAAATGGTGCAAGTTTCATTCCAGCACAGTACATAGACAGGGTTCTGATTATAAGTATGATAATTTTAATGCATATGTACGTACCTAATTCTGTAGTAGGTACAAATTATTCACCATTGTAGAATTAATTTTTTTAGCCGATTTAAGCTCTATCTGTGTAACACTTATCCGATTTCTCCATACGTGCCGGTATTATGAATCTCACAAATATGTATGTATAACTCATCTGCCATCCACTTTCACACAGTTGGAACGTATAAGTTAAGTAATGTGGTTGGGATAAAAGAATATGAGGCTTTTGGCTATGTCAAGAAATTTCTGAGGTTTTTACCAATGGATTGCTTTGCGGTTATGTAAGTGCTGGGAATTCCTCACACAATACATATGTAAACTAGTTGAACTTATTGGCATAAGGCCATGCCGTACATATAGGTAGAGGTAGTTATTACATAAAATACTATGATCGAGGAGTTATAATTAAGCACATTTCTGCGTGAAAAAAGCATTGAAAAATGTGTTTAATTTTAATTCCTCGACCATAAACTGATGATAATTATTAGCGTACACTTTTTAAGTAATTGTCAAAACCCGAGTGGTTATGCATACGTGTGAACATACACACGTCAAAAAATCTTGACGTTAGAAATGCTACGAAATACTCGGACTGAAAATAATTATTTACATATTTACATCTACAGTGGCAGCAAGATAACCTTACCCCGCCGAATCTTAAGGCCATGCGCGCACAACGACAGGCTCGATCCTGCACAAATCGCCTAAAAAACAGGGTCTCGTTTTTAGTCTCACTCTAGTGACCGTAATAGTTGACCTTCTGAGGTCAAACTTGGCACACACACTCACAATCATATTCCCCAGGGTGGTATTCAAGGATTTTGACCTAGGTCACCTACGTGACCTTCCAGAAATTACCAAACTTTTTGCACCATATTTGGTTTTTACACTCTAGTGACCTTAATATTTGACCTTTTGAGGTCACACTTGACACACACATTGCCAATCATATTCCCCAGGGTAGTTTTCAAGGATTTTGACCTAGGTCAATTACGTGACCTTCCAGAAATTACCAAACTTTGTGCATAATATTTGGTTTTTACACTCTAGTGACCGTAATACTTGACCTCTTGAGGTCAAACTTGGCACACACACTCACAACCATATTTCCCAGGGTGGTTTTCAAGGATTTTGACCTAGGTCCCTTGAGTGACCTTCCAGAAATTACCAAACTTGTTGCATAATATTTGGTTTTTACACTCTAGTGACCGGAATAGTTGACCTTCTCAGGTCAAACTTGACACACACACTCACAACCATATTCCCCAGGGTGGTTCTCAAGGATTTTGACCTAGGTCCCTTGAGTGACCTTCCAGAAATTACCAAACGTTTTGCATAATATTTTGGTTTTTACAGTCTAGTGACCGTAATACTTGACCTTCTCAGGTCAAACTTGGCACACACATTCACAACCATATTCCCCAGGGTGGTTTTCAAGGATATTGACCTAGGTCACCTGCGTGACCCTCCAGAAATTACCAAACTTTTTGTATAGTACTTTTTTTCTGGTTTTAACACTACTTTTTGACCTCTTGAGGTCTTATCTGGCACACTGACTCGCAACCATATTCCTAGGGATGGTCAAAAGTACATGTATTTTAAATACAATTGTATTTTGAAAATACAAAATACGTATTTTGTATTTTGTATTTAAATACAAAATAATCGAAGTATTTTGAAAATACAAATGTATTTTGAGCCAGTATTGGGAATTGTATTTTACAATTGGAAAAAAGTATTTTCACTTCAAAATACAAAATAGTTTTCGAAAATACAATTATGTTAATCGCGCTAGCTTGCCACCAAGTAAATGCGGAACGAGCACACGCGAGAAAACAAGAGAACTTTTATAGAAGGTTTAAACGGTAACTGGCAACTGAAGTAATTTCGTCAAGGCCTTTAGAGTATTTTTTGGATTCGAAAATTCTGATAACGAGGATGAGGTGGACATTGAAGGGCTTGATTTTCTTGACACACATCTGATATGATCTGCGAGATTCTAATTTAGAACATTTCACTGTCATCCATCTTTGTTCTCAAGTCGCACAAACAGTGTAATGAGCAATTCGAAAATAAGCAAGCAATTATGTAATTTTCGGTTAACTTGTTTTTTTAAATTAGTAAATCAGATTTACTAGTGTAAAGAAATGTTTAATTTTTGGATCTACTAAATCCATAAAGCGTGGAGTATTTTGTATTTCAAAAAGTATTTGGATACTAATTATTGTATTTTGTATTTCAAAAAGTATTTAAATACTGTATTTTGTATTTTGTATTTTGGCAAAAAATATTTTGTATCAAAGTATTTTGAAAATACAAATGTATTTTGGGCTCTGAGGTGTATTTGTATTTTGTAGTTTGAAAAAATTGAAACCAAATATTATGCAAAAAGTTTGGTGATTTCTGGAAGGTCACGCAGGTGACCTAGGTCAAGATCGATGAAAACCACCCTGGGGAATGTGCTTGGCAATACGTGTGCCAAGTATGACCTCAAAAGGTCAAAAAGTACGGTCACTAGAGTGTAAAAACTCAAAATATTATGCAAAAACTTTGGTAATTTCTGGAAGGTCACTCAAGGGACCTAGGTCAAAATCCTTGAGAACCACCCTGGGGAATATGGTTGTGAGCGTGTGTGCCAAGTTTGACCTCAAGAGGTCAAGTATTACGGTCACTAGAGTGTAAAAACCAAATATTATGCACAAATTTTGGTAATTTCTGGAAGGTCACGTAGGTGACCTAGGTCAAAATCCTTGAAAATAACCCTGGGGAATATGGTTCTGAGTGTGTGTGCCAAGTTTGACCTGAACAGGTCAACTATTACGGTCACTAGAGTGTAAAAACCAAATATTATGCAAAAAGTTTGGTAATTTCTGGAAGGTCACTCAAGGGACCTAGGTCAAAATCCTTGAAAACCACCCTGGGGAATATGGCTGTGAGTGTGTGTGCCAAGTTAGATCTCAATGAGTCAAATATTAAGGTCACTAGAGTGTAAAAACCAAATATTATGCACAAAGTTTGGTGATTTCTGGAAGGTCACGCAGGTGACCTAGGTCAAGATCGATGAAAACCACCCTGGGGAATGTGCTTGGCAATACGTGTGCCAAGTATGACCTCAAAAGGTCAAAAAGTACGGTCACTAGAGTGTAAAAACTCAAAATATTATGCAAAAACTTTGGTAATTTCTGGAAGGTCACTCAAGGGACCTAGGTCAAAATCCTTGAGAACCACCCTGGGGAATATGGTTGTGAGCGTGTGTGCCAAGTTTGACCTCAAGAGGTCAAGTATTACGGTCACTAGAGTGTAAAAACCAAATATTATGCACAAATTTTGGTAATTTCTGGAAGGTCACGTAGGTGACCTAGGTCAAAATCCTTGAAAATAACCCTGGGGAATATGGTTCTGAGTGTGTGTGCCAAGTTTGACCTGAACAGGTCAACTATTACGGTCACTAGAGTGTAAAAACCAAATATTATGCAAAAAGTTTGGTAATTTCTGGAAGGTCACTCAAGGGACCTAGGTCAAAATCCTTGAAAACCACCCTGGGGAATATGGCTGTGAGTGTGTGTGCCAAGTTAGATCTCAATGAGTCAAATATTAAGGTCACTAGAGTGAGACTAAAAACGAGACCCTGTTTTTTAGGCGATTTGTGCGGGTTGAGCCTGTCATTGTGCGCGCACCGCCTTGAGATTCAGCGGGGTAAGGTTATCTTGATGCCACTGTAGCTTCATTTTGATTTGATGTCCTTATTAACAAGGTGTTAATATTGGTTGGAAACATACCTACCTGTTCAGAAACAAAATTTTCATTCAAAATTCATTCATCCCGATTTCTGACTTAAGATTTTCATTCGCATTCAATCATTCTCTTTCAAGCTCATTTTATTTATTTCATCAGACTTCATTTCTTACATACTTCGCCCCATGTATTACATAAGTATAGGGTGAAAAATGAAATGAGTTAGAAATCCTTTCATTCACAGTCACTCATCTGAAGTGACGGAATCTTTCACTCATTTTTATTCAAATCACCGGAAATTCATTTTTATTCATGATCATTCACTATCATAACCAGCAAAATGATGGCGTAATATATGTACGTTGCCATCCGTTGCCTCGACTCATCTTACCTTTCATATTTACAAGTTTGTTCGCTGGTATGCCAAGATAAAGTATCATAATATATTTAAGCATGAGGAGAAAGACGGTCCAACCATTAAGAGTTCCTTGATGACTATGATATATTTAACCGAGAAAAGTAGTGATAATTACTGAGCCGCAATTAGTTGGGTGGTTTAACTAAGCGAAACTCTAAATATTTAGAGTTTCGTATTGAGAGTATATTTATTTTATCTGATCAAAATTTAAACAGAAAACTCGACTTAAGAAGTATTTTAAGAATTAGTCTACCAATAGATTAAAGTGGTTCTTTACTTTAAACATGTTTATTTAGCTGCGTTCAGCTTAATATGGTATCCTTGGGATTAATAATTAATCAGTATCAATATGCATACATATGTATGTATGTATGTAAATATGTACTTCCACAATGCTGAAATATCCTGAACCCATGATTTGCGGCTGCTGTCCACATACATATATTTAAACAAAAAAGCTAAATAATGCAAAGCCAGTATTTGATGAGTTAATATCTGAAATATTTTAACTTCTGCAAATTCGTAAGCTTGGATAATCCAAGTTGGATTGAGCTAGCCCAGGAG